CCATATCAATCTAGAGCATGCTCATTTTAGCCCTTAAAACTGGGTCAACACACCCTGGAAATTCACACCAAACTGCAGTTCCTGAGCACAGATAGGCAGAGTTGTCAAAATATTCTCATCACTGAGTAAATTTGTGCTTAGAGCAAAACCAACAGCCTGGAAAACACAAGTGCCCTGCAAGCTATCAATTAAGCCTTACATCAGGATAAACTTGTGTCAAGAGGAAATTATTTCCATTTTACCTGGAGAGATCCAGCTCTGCTCTGACATACAGACAAGGACAGCTCAGGGAAGAGTCCACTTGCCTAAAGAAAGGGCAAATCCTTGCTGTGCTGTTTGATAAGGTGCTACAGGGAGCTCCTGTACCCTCAGTGGGGTATGATTTAACCTGAGCATTTTCTGAGATTTCAAAGCATTCCCATTCCTCATCAAAATGAAAGAAAAATGCTTTCAGGACGTGCTTTTTGCAAAAGCCACAAAGTGTCCCCAGAGGAACCCAGCACTTCATGACTGGGGCAGGAATTTGGTGGCTGAACTCTGCACACAAAGCCCTGGTGTCAGTGGGGAGATGAAGCAGCTCTGCACAACAACCTGGATGACAGAAAATTCACCTTCCTGCAACTCCTTTTCCCCCAGCTGGTCTCTCCTTGCTTGCAGCTTTCTGGGCCCGTGAGCCCTTTAACTCAGAATAACAAGATGAATCAAAAATACTGAGATATAAGTAAAACTGCAGGAAGAACACAACATATTTTAAGTTTTTGAAGTTTCTTTCATTTGCAGCGGCTCAAATTGGACTTTTTGTCTTTTTTAAAGCTTCTCTTACTGCCTCTAATTAAAGAATTAATTTTTTTTGACTAACAGATATAGAAACGTATTTCATCAAATAGTACCTGAACCACAGTTTTTCATTAACTTTATCAAAATTGACATCTGGTAGTTTGTTTTTTTTCTGATCTTTGGAACAGATTTAAGACAAGAAAACCTTTACACGCCATTCTCCTAACTTCATCCTTCCTCCATTTAAGATGTATTTTATGAGATTGATTTTTCAAGGCATCACATTGCCCCACCTTTATCTGCTGCCCTTTCCTTTCATTTCTCCTTTTGCATCTTTTTCAAAGCAACTGAAGAAAATTTAACCTTTACTGTGCAGCATTTTGCCAGCCAAATGAGGCAGGAGAAATCAAGATCTACCTTGTTTTTCCCATCCAAGTACCTAACGAATATTTTGGTCCTAAGAGGAGTCTGAACTAACAGACATGAAATTTGCTCAAATGTATTTTTTCCAGTCTGGCCCTAATTCAGTGTTATTGTACATGGCCTCCACTCCCCAAACAGCCCTGCCACACATTTCTGGTTGAAACCCACACTGCTCTGTCTTAGACTCCAGTGGGATTTAATGAACAGGGAAATATCCCTTTAGAAACACCCCATGGCTCTCAGGCTACTGAATGGGGTAAATGTAAATTGAACCTGGAGATTATATGATTTTTTGAAAAACACAATAGATGAACCTAATTTCCAACCAGATTTTCTAATAAGACACACCTTTCCCTTCCAGTTCTGGTACTGCCAATATTGTGCTGCTTCTCACAGTATGACAGCACACAGAGTGGATGGGTCACAAGAGTTCAGTCTTGAATTTGTAGGAAAAATGATGCTGTACATATTTTGCAGCTCTTGTCTGTGCTAAACTCTCCATCTTGAGATATGCAACATTTACCAGCTTACATATTTACATTTCCCACTTTGAATGCCCATTCACCTTCTGCTTTGAACTGTTTCAGGGTCTGTTAACAAGGGAAGATAGAGCTGCTCAGAAAAATAAATTACTTTTTAAAAAATATCTCAGTAGTGCAGGAATGTTTCTGAGTAACTGGGTGGACAACTGCAAATCATGTACTTAAAAGTACCTGGACAAATTAACTTTGCATTACAAATGGGGCCTGTGCTATTCAAAGGCATCAATTTGTATTGTGTTAGTAGTCAATTCAAGTAGTAGTAAATAATATTCCATTACAGTTAGTAATTAATTCAATAACAAAATTAAATAAATATTAAATATTATACATAAATATTATTTTAGAATATTAATATTTAACACAAATATTAAATAATCAAATTCAATAATAGTTAACGGTTAATTCAAATCACCTATTTAATGTCTAAAGGACCCATGTAAAGAGAACTTACTTTCAAGACTACAGTATCAATGAGCTATTGTAGCATCATTTTTTAGCTGCCCAAAGAGTGATTTCAAAAGTTAAAACTAAATTTCTGACCTTACACTGTTACCCAGAGGCAACCTTCTGTTGCCCACTAATCTGATTTCCAGGAAACATTCAGCTTTAATTCCTCTTGTCATCAGCACAGGAAATGAGCTGGACCCTGCTCTGCCTTTACAGCTGTTAGTGATGAGGCTGGCAGGATAATTCAGGCTGGGTCCTCTGTCCCCAAACCCCAGAGCTGCCTGGTGTGTCTGCGCTCCAGAATCCCTGCCCTAACCTGCAGGGCTGTCTCAGGTGGTGGGTGACCCTTCCCCACCTCCTCTCCAAATTCCTGTCAGGTGGAACCCAGCTCTCTCCCTGCCCCAAGTGCTCACCAGGCTCCTGTCTCTTGTACATGGCTCTGCAGCAAACAAACAGAGACACAGAAGCTGCCTCCTGCCAAAGGGAAAAATCGCAAGAAGGAGGAGATTAATGTGGAACAGCTGTGCTGTGGATTTTTTGAATAATTTGCTGAAAATAAACTTTAATGGCAAATTAAGAACAGAGATTAGCTCTGCAGTTCTGTGTTCTCAGAGGGCAACTTGCTTGCACAAAAGCAAAGCCAGAGCTTGGCACCAGGAGCAGCTCAGCTGGCAGTGCCTGCACAGAGCCAGGCAGGGATGGGAGGGATGGGACCTGCTCCCCAAAACCCGCTCAGCCCTGGGCTGCTCCCCACACCCTGCTCAGCCCTGGGCTGCTCCCCAAAACCTGCCCAGCTCTGGGCTGTTCCCCAAAACCTGCTCAGCCCTGGGCTGCTCTCTAAAACCTGCTCAGCCCTGGGCTGCTCCTCACACCCTGCTCAGCCCTGGGCTGCTCCCCTCAACCTGCCCAGCCCTGGGCTGCTCCTCACATCCTGCTCAGCCCTGGGCTGCTCCTGCTTTTGGGAGCTCCAATTTTTAGCTCACTCAGGAGGAAGAGGAGGTGATGGCCCAGTGGCTCAGCCTGGCTGCTCCCGTCCCCTGTGCCTGGCTCTGAGAGGTGACCCCAGAGGTTCTGGGCAGGGTTGAACACCATTGCCCATGGAAGGTAAGTCACTGCCTCTGCCAGCTCAGGCTTCTCTCTCCTGGCTGTGTCTGTTTTTCACCATTTCAGAGGCCCAGACGAACCAAAACCAGACCTTTCATGTCTCTCCACAAGTGTTGGTTCCCACCACAGAAGCTGACAACAAGCAGGCACCCTGCACTCCCCTGGCCTATGTGAATGTGTTTTCTGAGCTCACCAAGAACTCAAGTCCTTCCGTTTGCATCTCTCAAATTCTCGCTCTCCACTCCTAGGGCAGCTCTCACCCCCTCTCCCAGCAGCAGGAAGGGAGCTCAGAGGTGTGACAGCCCCTTCCAAGCAGTGATGGGACACAAGGCAAGGCACACTCTGGAATGTCTGCTGCCTCCAGCAAGGTCTATTTCTAGGACCATACCTGGTTCAGCTTGCCCAAAAACAACTTCCTTGTGGAGCCCCCAGTCCTGAGCACAGATCTGTCAGAGCAGAGTGTGTCAGCTTCCCTCCTGCTCCCCCTGAGGGCTGGAGTGGTGCCTGTTTGGGTTCCAGGCTGGGAGGCACAGGGAGGCTCCTCCTGAGGGAGATGGGAGGGAGCTTTCCCTGCTGCATCCTCTGATCTATGAATTAAACATCCTGGCTCCACCATCAGTTTCTCCTGTAATGACTGGGCACTGACAGAGAGGGATGAAAACACCAAGTCATTCCTCCTCCTCTGAAAGGATAAAGGCCAATAAAAGATGGATGTTGGCAGGCTGGCATGAATTACCACACAGGCTGATGCCCTGAAAAGTCCCAGCTCTGCCAGCATGCCTGACTGCTCTATGGACATTGAGTTACATGACCCCAAACATGACAGAAACTACTTGTGTCTGCAGAAGTGATGTCAATTCATTTTGAAGTTAATTCATCCAGCTCTGATCACAGCTTTTGCTGCAGCTGAGAAAAGACATTAATCTGTTTAATTTCTCCCTCTGTGTTTCAGATCAGACAATCCATTTACTGAATGTGATTGATAAATGAATTAACTGTGCAACATTCATTTCTTTCACTAGTTCAGAACACACAAACTGAAAATAAGTCACTACAAACCTCTATATATGGAAGATAAACTACAGATCTTTCAGGATATTGTAGAGTTCAGTACCAGAGGAGGATTGAAAGATTGTTTAACCTTGTCCAGTCCAATTCTTCCTCACCTTGCACCCTCAGCAGCCATAAGAGATCACCAGCATTGCATGGTCAAGACCAAAGGTCTGTTTGGATGCATATATTGCATCTGGCAGGAGATTTTCCCTGCATGATTTTCTGATTTATTCTCTTACTCCAACAAGCATAATTCCCTTTTTTTAAAATATTTTTGACACAACCATATCCTACCAGAATGCAAAATAAAGCATTTTTGGTAATAAATCTTTGCCGGTTTTACTGTTTGCTAGCTTGATGAAAGAGAAAATTTGAAGAATTGCATGGTTTGTGAGAGAAGAGACTATGGCTTGTAGGGGGCAGTGATGGAAGGTTCCCAGCAGGAGATCCAGGCTCATAAAAAGTGACACTTGCTCCTTTTCCTACCCATATAGATATGGGGTTAGCTCACAAAAAGTGGCTCTTGCTCCTTTTCCTATCCACACAGACATGTGGGGCAGGTTGCAGCTGACACACACACCCTGATTAATGGAAAATTGTTTCTTAACACCGATGAACCACTCATCAGGAAACACAAAGCACATCCAGTTCCTTCCAAACATGAAGACATTTACTATCTGCTCTATGAGCTTTATTACAGTATTTCCTACAAGTTTTATGCATGCAATCAAAGCATCTACATCAAGTTCTGCACATTTTAAACACCGCCATAAAGCAAAGTAATGACCTTCCCCCCCAGAAAAAAGTTAATAAACCAATAATATTCAAGTTTTACATCAGTGAAGCACAAATATTAAGTACATGCAAATTGCACTGATAAATCTGGAATGAGCATGTAGCATCCAGCACTTTGCATAGTTACTGGAGGCTCTGGGACAACAGACAGCATCAGGAGAGACTGATGGCCAGTCCTGCCAGACAAGACCTCTTGAGTGAGGAAACCAATGCAAACATGTTCACAGTCTTGGAAATGAAAGGGGTGAAGCAGTAATTCAAATGCCACCTAATCTTTGCTAGTTCAACAGCAAAACAAAAGTCTTTTTCCAGGGCTGGTTAAAACCCCTCTAATATCACATCACTGGGAGAGGCACTTAATCAGTGCCAGTCCTGCCTGCCTGGGGCTGGCTGGCACCTCTGTGCAGGTCCCTGCCAGCTGGGAGCCACGAGAGCCAGGGGATACAGAAGGGACACAATGGAAAGGAGGGCAGGGCACATCCAGCAGAGCTGCCTCTGGCTCTCTGCACGCTCCCACTGCCAGCCCAAGCCATCTGCCAAGGGTGGGAAAGCCACCAAAGTGCTCCTTTTTTAACTGAGTGATCATATAAAGATGTACAGGTAATCCCACAGCTCCCCCCCAACAGAAAGGTTTGATATGTGACTGTATTTGCTGTGTGCCTGCCATTACCCAGCAAAGGGCCTGTGTGCTCCTGTCTCCATGGATTTAATGCACTGCGCATCTCACAGCAAATGCTGGCTGCTTTTCTTTGCACTGCAAGCTCATCAACAGAGCAACAAGGTCAGCTTCTTTGTAACTACAGGGAGAGCAAAATGGAAAAAACAGTCATTGCATTATTATCCCCTTGTTCATCCCTGCTCCTGCTCCCTTCTCCAAGGACACACAACCTTAGGGGTTACCCATGCTGCCAGTCTAGCCCAATAACTACATTTAAAAATAAAGTTACCTGTCAAGATGAAGTCTGCTTTCCTGATGATGCTGATCTTCTCTTCTTTTTGTACTGCAAAATAATACAAACAGAATGAGAGCATGTTTGGTGGGTTTTTTCTCATTTTTTTCCCCTTTTAAGCTGTATAATTTTAACCTCCAAACTAGGCCAGCTCAGAGAAGGAGCATTTAATCTGTTACAGTGACTAACAAAGCTGTTATATTGTTAAAGATTACATGTGAAGTGTTTACCAAAATGCCATCCACTTTGTGCAAATGCTTCCTAGATGGTGCTAAGGAAATGCAAAATGCAGAGAAAGACCGAAGAAAAGGGCCTGACTTAAACCCACCAGTCTGGAGCTCTGACATTTTGGGCAGCCCCACTTCCTGGGATATGAAATGATGTTACCCATTCTTTAAGAAAGTCAGCACATTCCACAGCACACATGAATCTGTGATGAGTCAAGGGTGAGGAAAGCCTTGCAGACTCCAAGATTAAATACAGCATGTCTCATACCTTCTGTTGCTAACTTATATCTTTTCAAAATTAATCAGGAAATGTAGCATACAGCCCTTTAACATAAATAAAATGGGGAGCAAAGCTCTCTTCTCCCTCCATCTCTTCCTGGGATTTGTGCTGCCTGAAGACACAACCCTCATGGTGACTTTGGGGGTGTTTGTGAACAAGTCCTGGCACCTTTAATTTTCCTATAGCCTTAAGCCTTCTCCACTGGTTGGAGGCATTTAAGCAGGCTTGGGGTCCTGGTTTCCCACCAGAAGAGTCCCACCCATCACTGTAATTTCCCTTTGGTATCCCTTCATTTTCATTTGACAGCTCTGTGGGCTTTCATACCTTTTTTTTTTAATGTTTTAAGGACACTCCCTGTCCCAGCTGTGGTCCTGAAGGGGCAGGCACAGCCCCAGACATTGGCTGTGGCCCCTTCCTGCAGCTCTGCCCCAGGCAGACCCTGCAGCCCAGGGAGCTGCCCTGGACCAGGGCACACAGCTGTGGGCTGCCTCCTTGATGGAGCTGTGGTGGTGGGGAAACATTTAATTATTGGTTTATCACCTTTGTTAGGAGGCTCAGCAAGGGAGGTGAACATTCCTATGAAAACCCTGCTGTTGTGCCCAAATCAGGCAAACACTTGGTTCAGTAGAACCCCACCTGCCCAAGCTGCAGTGTTTGCTGCCTTGTCTCATTTGCTCTTCTGGCTCTCCTCTTTGCTTCAGCACAGCTGATATGCTGGAATAAAGAATAAAAGCATGCTGGGGAAAGCGTGGAGCTCAGCCTGGCTTCCTGTGAAACACACAACACCATGGGAAAAGGAGATGACCTTTCAATCTTGTGTTGCATTGGGCTTGGAATAACTCAGAGCTCCTTCTGTATGGAGATTTTCAAGAATATTGGTAATATACAACAATTCATGGAGGTTCTGTGTTAGTTCACTGCTTTCTTACTTCCCCAACCCCCAGAAAATGACCTCTGCCACATCTGGTGGTGTCTGGAGTGCAGGTGCTCTTCAGGTGCTGTGCTCATGTCTTGCCAGGGACTGGGGGATATTTTACACCTTTCATTGAGGGATTTTGTTACCTTCGTAGAGATGTTCTGCAAAAGCTTCAGCTCCTTTTAGGACTAAAATTAAGCCTCTCTCACTGTGTGTTTAATTAACTTTTATTTGCTTGACATTTCATTTTTTATTATTTTTAAGCAGCCCGAGGTTCTTGGCATTAACATCACATGTAAACTAATTCAACTGATAGATTATCTTCGCAAAAGACATTTTTTTTTCTATCATCACACCACTAGGAATATTTTTCTGAGGAAAGAAAGTGGATGCAAAAATTCCCCTTGATTACCTGAGTACAATGGATGCTTTGCAAGGCAATAACAAGGGGAGGAAGTATCTTCTGAGAACATGTTAACACTAAATCAGGCACTTTATGCTTCTGGTTGAGCTCCTCCAGGTACCAGTAAAGGGGAGGAGGGGCTGCAGGATATTTATTTTATTGGGAAAAAATGCATTTATTTCCTCAGTGGTTTAAAGCCTGATTTTAACCAGACTGAAGAAGAAAATAATCCCTCCACTCCTCCACCTGTTATTGCCAGGCTTCTCCTCCCTTCCCTTCTATTTTGGGCATATTTTGGAAAGGCTCTGGTGTCTGAGATGTGAAGAATCTTCTGCCTGAGGGGCCATCAGAGGCCACAGAGGAGCAGGGCCAGGAGCGATGGAATCAACATGAGGAGTGAAACCAAAGGGAGCACAAAATCCTCTGCTTTGGACAATAATTTTATGTACACACACACACACACACACACACACACACATGTATCTAAAAGCAGATGAAGATTTTAGGAGAAATGTGCCTACCCCTCCCCCTGAAAAATGGAATCAATTAATATACTGAGCATTACCAAGACACCAGCTTGATGAAGTGCCCTCAGGAGAGACAAGAAAAAATTCTATTTTTGCATTTACAGAACATCTCAACCCACAATGTTCCACCTATCCTTTTCAAAGCACTCATAATTCACCAAAGAGAGAAAACCTGGCACTTACTGCATATGAAATATGTTTACAGTGGCACAGTTGGTATATTGATTACATTACTTCCTTTTAAATATTTTAACACAGTCTTTGGCTAATGGAGTATTTAATTAAAGAGAAATAAACATTAGTTTTCAATTTATGGGAAAGGAATGCCCTTACAGTATGGGCTGCAGGATATGATCCTCCCCTGTCTTTACAGATTTATCACTTTCTCCAGACACGAAGGATATAAATAACATCAGCCTTAGACTGGTGGTTCTCAGTAACTCTTCAACACTTCATAATATTCTGCTGAAAAATCAGTGTTCTCTGAAATTCTAGTCCTGAATTGCCAGCAATGTCTTCTCAGCAGCAATCAAAAATTGTTGGGAGATATGAAATGGGGGTAGAGCAGTCAATATTAGGTTTACAGACACCATAATCTGTTTGGCTGATAATAAAGTCAACATGCTGGTTTTGAGAATAGAAAATAATGTTAAATAAGCATCATGTTTGCAAACACACCCATCCTATTCCTTTTTAAAATTAATTTTTTTGTTTCCATTTCCTACAATCTGATGGATTCAAAGGAAAAAAAATAATTTTGCTAATTCAACCCCATTACTGAAAAAAATGGTATTTCAATCTGAATGGATGTGGAAAAGAACAATTCAAAGAGTTTCCTGCAGAAAAATGGGCTTTCTGGAGTCTTTTTTGCCAACATCTCCCTAATTTGCTCCTAATATCTGATCTAAACCAACCATCCTTGAGCTTGAAGCCATTGCCCCCTGTCCTGTCACTGCATGCCCTGGTGACAGCCCCTGTGGTCATTCACCAAATGGCAGCAGCACATTTATCTCCCCAAGCCACCCTTAAACTTTGGGCCTCCTATTTAGCAGTGCCACTGTAACATTTTGAAGGCTGTCACCTGTCCCATGATTTGCAATGTGACATTTCTACTTCTGCATGTTGTGACATGGCTTTCACCCAGCCTGCAAATACCCTGGAGCTCTGTGCTCACTGTTCTCCTCCTCGAGCAGCACCTTGCAATGGTCACCACTGATTTTCAAAGCTTCCAGGGCAGCATTAACCAGGAGCTGCTCTTTCTAAGGGTTTTCTGCTGGCTATTTTTCTCCTCCTTCCCTTTATTTTTCTCCCCTCAGACAAGTCTTTGGGAGAGAGTGCCTCAGCACAGAATTACTTTGTTTGGGTGCCAAATTCTCCTTGCAGTGGGCTGTAGTCAGGAGGTTTTCATCCCTCTGCCAGAAAGACTCTGCTTTTCAGTAGCTCTCAACCTCCAGCATCCCTCTGGCAGCCAAGGAAGAAAAGAACAACCTTATTCCCAGCCCAAAGCATTTATTTTTTTTCTCCCTCCCCTGCAGGCTTCATCTCCACAAGCCACAGCCGTGCTCTGGGTCCAGGTCTCTCCCCACACTGTCTTCATACAACTGGCCTCCAATTTGCTGCTCTGGCTCCAAATGAAGCTTTTAAAATAAAAAAGAAAGCCAAGCATGGAGGGAGAAGGAGCAAGCCAGCTCTCAAAATGAGCTAGCCCAGCCAGCCTCCCCAGTGCTGGGCTCCAAACCCACAGACAGGGCTCCCCCACCCTGCTGGCTCCCAGCCTGCTTCAGAGCAGAGCAGGAGTCCAAAAACAGGAGAGACATTTTATTTGCTGCTTCTCTGGAGACCTCTTGAGCTGCTCTCTGAGCAGCTCTCATTTAAGAGCTGGCATGGCAGCCCATTTGATTTCTTTTTAAGCACTTGGTGGTGGAAGCAATTTTAGAAAAGGAGTGTAATTCTTGTAAGAGCAACTTCTGCCTGGGCAAATGCTGCTGTCAGCAGTGGCACACATTAAAATGGGAAAAGAAAATTCTGCCTCTGGAGTGGGATGGGAAGAGCAAAGACTGCTCCAGGGCTTTGATGTCCCAGGGACCACAGCCCTGCTCTCAGGGCCAGTGAGCTCCCCTGGGCCATGGAGGTGGCACCCCACCCCACAAACCCCACTGAGTGCCCCACAAGTGTTTCCTGTCTCATAAAGCAAATAGATTATTTGCCTTTCTTTTCAGCCTTCCTTTCTTGACATTTCTCCCCTGATTCTGTTCCTTCTTCAGATTCATCCCTATCCCATCACCACTTGACAGCTTCTAGTTATTTCTCATTTCAGCAGGTAAAAGGGGGCAGACATCTCCCTCCTCAGTCCAAGAGCCTGACTTTTAAAAATATGTGCAATGAGATGAATAAACCCCAACATGTCACATACCTGATCTGGACTATGGTGGAAGAAACCTCTGCCCAATGCACTTAATAGACTTTTGTAATGGTGCATTTTCAGGAAAAATCTATCAAGCCCCAGGAAAGAACTAAAACTGCCTAAGTGGCTGAGTCTCAAACACCCACACTTACAAGGTCAATAGCTGTGAGAAACAGAGCATGTTGCACCACAGAGCAGAAAAAAATGCCCCACTCATGAAGCCCAACAAGGAAAACCAGTATGCAATTTCCCTTTCCAAAGGGATTTGGAGATCACACTCTGCAGAAAGCCAGGAAAAAATTAATTTAAGAGTCTTTCTTTCCCCTTGAAATGCATGGCTCTGGGGAATCTGATGGCACCTGGACCTATCCAGCAACAGCAGCCACGTGAACCCAACAGAGACACAGGCAGTGATGGGCTCTGGACTCTCTTTCGGCATGTTTTGCTTGTGGAGATCTTCCCCCCATCCTCAGGCCCCTGAATTTAGCAGATATACTCCTAAAACCACACTGGAGAATTGGAGTTTGCATTATATTTCCTCTCTCAGATGCCTCTGGGAACAAGAAGTCCTTTGGGAGAGGTTTTGCCT